ACAATTGTGCTTTACACAATTGATGTATGTATGGATTGCGATAAGAGTTGTATGATCCCCTAATAAAATGACTTTAAAAATAAGTAAAATAAAATGTATATAGCTGCAGAAAAATCAGGAAATTGAAATCCTTAACAGTTCTCACTGACTGTTGGGATTATGGATGAGCTGCCCCCACCCTAATTTGAAACAGAAGCATAATGAAATTAGGGGGGAAATCTAAACCCATATAGAATTCTCCCTTGGTATTTACAACCAGAACCTCACTTGAATCAATCCCTTTATCCCAAACCCATCACTTAGGCTTAGAGGAGTGGCCCAGAGTCTTGGAGAAAGACAGGAACCATCAGAAGGAGAAAAAAAGGCCCAAACCTGAGTTTAGAAACAAGAGGAAGGACAGAACAATTAAGACCCTCGTGCTTGAAGCAGGGGTGCTTAGTGACAAGGGGAAATTAAAGCAGGGAATGGTCCGGAGGCTTGTTGTCTTTCAATGGCTAACCTAAAATGCCCTGACGACTCTTGCAGACAGTTGTGGCCTATAACTGGAAAACTGGAAAGGTGGTGAAAAGATTCAGAGGACATGAACGTGAAATCACTAAGGTAACTGTGAAACAGTTATTACTATGCAAGGAGTTTGGAGCTGAATAAAGGACTGCGGAATAAGTCAAGCTACTAAGACCCAGTATTCTTAAGGAAAAGTGCAAAGGCTTTCTATTTGATGTTGTAAAGTCCAAATCTAGGGGAGGGAGGGAGTAAATCATTCACTTAACTGTTTATATAAGCATATTGGACCCTTTTAAATATGATCCTTCAATAACTTAGGTGAAAAATAGAGAACATTTGAACAGGAAACAGGTCTCTCCCACCTATTCTGACTTCAAAGGGCTGTGTATTGGACACTGGCTATGTCTGGAAAACACTGGAGCAGGAAAATGACAAAGTCCGTATTCTCAGAGACTGTCTGGGAGCATTGTTGGCGGGCAGGAGGTGCAGAGCCAACAAAAAAGCTAAATACACGGGTACAGACAAGACCTCGCAACACAGGGAATCCAGGACTGATAAAACCCTCAGGACCAATTGTGAGAGTAGCGATACCAGGAGGGTAAGGGGAAGGTGGGGGAGGAAAGGGGGAATTGATCACAGTGGTCTATATATAACCCCCTCCCAGGGGGACAAACAACATAGAAGTGGGTGAAGGGAGACAGCGGTAGGTGTAAGACATGAAAAAAAAAATATCAAGGGTTCATGAGGGGGGGGGGCAGGAAATGAGCTGATACTAAGGGCTCGAGTAG